GCAGGAATTCATGCACCGAGCCTCTAGTATTTATATATGTGTGTATGTAAATTGTGGTTAGGATCATTACTAGCTATGATTCACAAATTAAACAGAATTTCACAGGCAAGTCTGAGAATAGTGTCCCTACTGGGAAATAATTCAGAAACATAAATCTACTTTGTTTTTGTTGTGTGTTTTTTTAAATATATTTTTACTGATTTTAGAGAGAGGGAGAGGGATAGAGAGATAGAAACATCAATTAGAGAGAAGCCCATTGCCTGCCTCCTGCACACCCCCCACTGGGGATGGAGCCCACAACCCAGGCATGTGCCCTGACCGGCAATCAAACCAGGACCTCCTGGTTCATAGGTCAATGCTCAACCACTGGTCCACATCCGCTGGGCCAGAACAAGAAATCTACTTTGAATGCACATGTCCAAAACATTTCAATCATCTGCAATAGAATCATTGTAAATATTACTTACATTCTTTAGAAAAAAGTCTCTTTCTTTTACCCTGCCCACCTTCTGCACCTCCTCCAATTTCTTCATTTTCTTCCTCAAACTACAAGTTAAAATGTATAGAGAGAAATGTCAAGCCATTGCACGGCACTGGTTTTTTAATAATTCAGCCCCCCTCCACTTTCGACACTGACATCATGCCAGGAAGCCTACGGCGAGCAGCAGACACTTGGGAAACCACAGCATTTTAGTCCAACCTCCGGCTCAAGCAGGAACGGCTTCCATAATGTCCCTAGCAAATCCCCCAACTGCCCCTCCCGGGGGGATTCCATTGACTACCCTTTCCCCCCCAACGCCGTGTTGGCCCACTGCTAGGCAGTCTCACTAGTGCGGGAGTTGGTGCTGAAGCAAAGCTGGGAAGGCGCCTTAAGGAAGCCTCCGCCCCACTGAATGCCATGGACCCCGAGAACCAAACTGAAATGACTTGCTCGCGGGCAACGGAAGTTGTGAAACCCAGGCTCCCACTTCCGGTCCACACTGGACAGCGAGGGGGCAGTGTTGTGAGCAGCTGAGCTGCTGGCTCGCCGGGAGCGCTAAGAAACATTCGCTCGGGCCTCCGACGATTCTCCAGGCGTCACGAGGGGCGTCTGGCAGGTGTGGACCAAACGCCAGGGTCGGGGGCCGCCTTCCGCTCCCCGCTCCACGCCCGGCCCCACGCCCTCGAAAAGCGAACGGAAGGGAAAGGCTGGGCACCGCGTCGAGTCCCCGACTCTCCCGGCTGAAGTCACTCAGGAAAGCAGACCCGACTCCGACCCCGGCCTCCGCCACTGTCCCCGGGGCAGTGAAGGCAAGAGCGGGTGGGAACAGAGGTGGTCACTCACGGTGGGGTCCTCTTCCTCATCCGCCATCCCACCGGCCAGCCCACAGCGCCCGGCCCGCTTTTACTACTTTCTCAAAGGAGACGTCTCAGACCTTCGTGCGGCTTTTACTACTTCCGCCGCCGCACTTCCGGTGACGCAATGGGTTGGGCGGGGCCTAATCGGGCGGGACCGGAAAGGGTGGGGACGCGTGGTCCCGCCTAAGGGCGGAGCCGATAAGCTCTTTAGGGCAGTAGGAATGAGCTCCTGACTCTAAAACCACCAAGAAGGAATTAAACGGCAAAGAAAAGGAAGCCCTGGCGGCGTGTGCCTGGTGGTCACCCTCCATGTGCTTCTGCATGGGGGTCCCCACTATCCGATTCGGGACTGCCAAGCAATGAATGGATGGTTGTGGGGCTAGCCGGCGGCCTTGGGCTGCCCCAAGCGTGTATTTAAACAATTTCAATAACTTGGAGTTCCACTGTTATTCATGCCAAGCTTTGTGTTGGTTATTGGGGATATTGTTCTTTACTACTAGTAAAGCTTCGAATTTTCAACCCCACCCACCCATTCTCCAGAGAGGGGAGAAAGGCTGGGAATGGAGTTGATTGTACTTACACGTGAGGCATAAAAAGCCCAATCGTAGGAGTTTCAGAGAGCCTCCGGGGTGGGGGAAACATCCACATACTGGGAGGGTACCGTACCCCAACTCCACAGGGACAGGCGCTCTTCACTGGAACCCTCCCAAACCTCACCTAATATCTCTCTTCATCTGGCTGTTCATTTGTGTCCTTGATCATATCCTTGAATAGACTGGTAGACCTAAGTATTGTCCTGAGTTCTGTGAGATGTTCCAGCAAATAATAGAATACAAGGGAGAGGAGGTCACAATTTGTAGCCAGGTGGGACAGAAGTTGTGGGTATCCTGGGGGCCTGTAAGGGGGGGGGGGGCATGAATTACAGAGATAATATATGCTCTGGAAGCTTGTGATGGGGGAAGGGGGCCCAAGAAGGTCTGAGAAGGCTCCTTTGAGAAAGTGAGGTTTGAACTGAGACCTGAGCGATGAATGGAGTTAGCCAGTGAAGGAGGGAGGAAAGTGCTGTGCCCCGACTTACCTTGTACTTTCCCATCTCCGTGCCTTTCAGCACTTTTACTCCTTTCCTTTCTATGGAAATGCTACATGCCTTTCAGGCCCAGCTGAAATGTCTGCTCCTCCATCAAGCCTTCCGGGTGCTCTCAGCCAAAAGCACTTTCTCCCTTACACTCCCACAGCCCTGGTTCCATTTCCCTGCAACACTTCTCGCTTTCTACTGTATTTTCTGGTTATTTATACACCCAGCTTATCTTGTCCACTAAATCTTAAACTTATTAAGAACAGAGTGTTTCTCTTTCATCTCTGAGCTCCCAAAGGTTCGTGCATTCGTGACACTTAAAAGTCCTGGAACAAATATTTGCAGCAGAAATGAATGCCTGTTTGACATCCCTTTTCAAATATGTTGTAATTCAAATGAAGCTATTGTTGTGAGCTGTGCCTTTGGGGACGGGACTTACTCTTTGGTTAAACCAGAATGCCATCGTCATGGTTCCCAGACTGATTAGTGTTTGTCACAGTGACCGAAACAACCGTAACAAACAGGCCACTGTTCTTGACTGACAGGAGTTTGGCAACAACTGCCTGTCCTCCAGCGAAGGCTGAAATGAACTGAGAGGACTGTCTGAATTGAGTCCCCCAGCCGGGAGGGCTCTACTTATTTCTCACAGTTGAGCTGCAAGAGCTAGTGACCCAGGCTTTGGCCTGATGTGAGGCTGTGGGGTGAAAGAAACATTAATGCTTGAAACAAAATCATCAGAGATCCGTATCAGTGACAGCATCCTAATCTGAGACAGTGTGATAACAGGAGGGAGCTTTGAAGTCAGACAGACAGACCTAGGTTTGGATCCTAGCTAGCAATCTTATCTCACTCATGTTCCTTCTTTGAGCCTCAGGTTTCTTCTTGAAAAAATATTCTGCCAAATAGTGAGGACCAAAGATAATGTCCTTTACACACACATGCCTGTGCTCTGTTAAAATGTGTTTATTCATATATCTTCTCCTATAAAGTTTGTTACCTGAGGGCAGGGACTCATTTTTACCTTTATTCCTGCAAATCTAGCAAAGTGCCCAGCATGAAGTAGACACTGGTAAATATATTTTTAAATAAACAAACAACAACAAGAGTAATAGCTAACATTTCTGGGGCACTTCATGCCAGATGTTGTAAATAATAATTCGCTGAATCCTTCAACAACCCTAGAAAGGAACAACCATGGTACCCCAATTTTACAGAGAAAAACAGAATACTCTAATTTTTTAAAATATGAAATTCTTGGTATAACTGATTTTGAAATAAAAATCTGGTGAGATTTGCTTTATATAAAAACAGGTAAACTACTTTATAAAAATTGGAAAAAAAATGTGGTGGAGGGAAAAGTAAGGAAGAAATTATGAATGAGTGGGAAGAAGGAGTAGGAAGGAGAAGACATAAAAAAAGGAGAAAGAGAAAAGGGCAATTTCTGAGCAGAGTGAAAAGTAACTGTGTAATCAGCGTAGGATGTTGTGATCTTTCACTGTCCTTTGAAATAGTAGCTAGACAACTAATCACTGTGTGTGTGTGTGTTGGCATATATCTGGCCTTCTTTTGAGTTTGGGCCCGTATATCTTCCATTTGTTTGTTTGTTTTTTATTCTACATTTATGTGTATTATCTCAAAGAGTCTGTCCTGCATCTAGGAGGCTCGGGTGGCTTTTCTCCTGCGTGACCAAGCAGGGCACAGCCAGCAGATGGCACTGGGACAGGGGCGGTGAATCCCTTCCGCAGCTTGGCTACCACTGCGGGATCCTAACCTTACACTTTCATCTCCGGGGACTTTGTCGCTCTCCCGCCCGGAGTCTAATAAAGAAGGTCGAGTTGTGTGTAATTAGGTATTTAAATGTACAAAATGTAATCTGTGACTTTGTCTCTACCCATCCCCACCCCACGCCCTACCCTCCCTAAAAACTGACTAAAAACTCTCGCCAGCTTGTGAAAGTGTTGTGTTGTGGGAAGCGCTGTCCAGACAATCGCCTGTTTCTGGTGACAGTGGCCGAGGTGATCCCAACATTAACTAAATACAGGAGATAATGGAGACTCCCCTGAAACAAACTGGCAATTATCTGAATGTTTCCCGACAACGTGGAGCTTTGTGATCTGAAATATGAGGCTCGTTTTTGTTATAATTTCCTTATTTCATTTAGGAAGTTCAGACGCAGCCTGGCTATCCAGTTTTCCATAAGAAGTCAGAAAGAGCCGCGCGGCAAGGGCAGTCCTGGAGGCCCCTGGGGCCCCCTCTTGACCCCGGGGGCCAGGCTCTTGAGCGGAAGCCCGGGACCCAGCCTTCTCTGTTGCAGGAGGGCTGCAGACGTACAAACGGACACAGGAGCTGCCACCTCACACACTACAACACAAAGTGCAACTCCTTACCTTTTCACCGGCAAAGTAAACGGTCAGGGTACGTCCCAGCACCTCTTCCGCACCGGCACCCGGAAGAGACTTGGTTACCATGGCCACGCAGGACGCCTCCCGGACCACGCGCTTCTGAGATAGAAGCACGCAAGCCCCACCCACATCGGGTCCCTCGCTCGGCAATCTGCTAGCCACCCCTGATTGCGTTCGGCGCTCGCCTGCCTGCCCTTGCGCCTGCGTACTACGGTCCCTACCCGTCGCTGCGGCCGGGATCGGGAAGTGTCAAGCGGGAGCTGGGTTCCCCCACCTGCGCTCCTGCCACCGCTGATCCCGGACCCCCTAGCCAGGCCCGGGCTCAGCCGCCATGACGAACGGTGAGCGCCAACGCCCCGAGTGGAGGAAGTGAGGGGAGGACGAGGGGCAACGTGGCGGGCGGAGCCGGGACTGACGTGGCCGTTCTCCCCGCCCCCTCCCCGCTCAGCCCTCTTGGCCTCTTTGGGTGCCCTGACCTCTGGCCTCCAGATCCCTCCCCGGTTCCCCGGTGCGGCTACCATCTAGGACCCCAGTGCCTCTCGTGTCCGCACCCCGCGTCCTCTCTCCCTCCCCTGTGCTTTCCCTGCCCCCCCCCTCCTCGCCTCCGGGAATGGCCACTCCGGTTGAACGATTGCTTTACCTGCTAACGTTCAGCACCGGGAAAAGAGAGGATTTTCCTCCCAGCCCCCTACGTTCTCGTACTTTCTGAGAGTAGGCTCGTTAGGAGGCCGAGAAATCACAAAGGATCTCAAGCCCCACACTTTTGAGGGGTGAATGTAGAGCCTAAAAAAAGTGTCTTATTTTGCAAAAAGTGTTCTGTTTGGGTGATTGCATCTGGAGACCCGAGCCGGTGTTGGGTAGGTACTGCCTCTTCTGAACGATGTGCCCGTTGCCTCCCTGTTTATCTGACCTAGTTTCCCAAACAGTTTGTGTAGGAGATCTCTGAATTCCAGGGAAGGGCAGGAGGCGGGGCTTTTGCAGTCTGTGGAGTCAGCCTTGCAGGAAAGGAGAGAGCCTCTGAGGTAGTGTGATCTGAGGGGCTCAGGAACGCATTTCTCAAAAGCACCGGAGACTCACATTTCACCTCCCTGTGAGCTTTGGCATTGCCTGCAAAACCTTATGGGAGGAGGAGACTAGCCCGTGAAGGTATCATTCTCCATAGAGACTTAGTGTGTTAACTTACTCAACTCTTGTGTGACTCCTCGCGGAGAGACTTAGGAAGGAGGCGAGGAGATGCAGCGGGCAGAGCTGGCAGCGGCTGTCCATTACCCTCTTGGAGCTTCCTGGCCGTCAGAGATCTGGGGTTACTGGGCACAGGAGAAGGGACATCACCCAGAGCAGAAATCATCCGAGCCAGGAAATAAGGGAGCGGTCTGACACATAATTACCCTCCCCCCTTTTGTGGTTTGGTATCTTTTTTTCTTTCTGCAGTTAGGGCAGTGGTCGGCAAACTCATTAGTCAACAGCGCCAAAGAGCAACAGTACAACGATTGAAATTTCTTTTGAGAGCCAAATTTTTTAAACTTAAACTACATAGGTAGGTACATTGTTATTAACTTAATTAGGGTACTCCTAACTTCCTCAATCTGACTGAGGTACGTTCGCTGAGGTCGACCCCTTCCAACTCTCCCATCCACACTGGTCTTGTATACTTGTTTCAGATAGACGAGTGTGGATGGGAGAGTTGGAAGGGGTCGACCTCAGCGAACATACCTCAAAACAATGTACCTTCCCCAGCCCGCCTGCCCGACTGCGCTGCGACCGACCGACTGACACCCCCCACTTCTAACGCCACTTCTTCAAAATAGACTCGCCCAGGCCGAAAACCGACTTCTGTGCATGGGCCACGAAGTTTCAGTCGCACTGTACGTGCGCGCCCGCACGTGGTATTTTGTGGAAGAGCCACACTCAAGGGGCCAAAGAGCCGCATGTGACTCGCGAGCTGCGGTTTGCCGACCACTGAGTTAGGTGATTTATTGTCCATGTACAAGAAATCGCTAAGTTTACATAGAATTGTTCCAAGGTCCCCCCACAATTGTTCGCCTATGTTGAAATGTCGCAGCCTCGGAAAGATATATATATATCTTTTTTAAAAAATATATTTTATTGATTTTTTACAGAGAGGAAGGGAGAGGAATAGAGAGTTAGAAACATCGATGAGAGAGAAATATCAGTTGCCTCCTGCACACCCCCTACTGGGGATGTGCCTGCAACCCAGGTACATGCCTTTGACCGGAATCAAACCTGGGACCCTTCAGTCCGCAGGCCGGCGCTCTATCCACTGAGCCAAATCAGTCAGGGCTATATATATATCTTTTACAAGAATCTTGCTATCCTGGCAGAAGAGGATCATGCACGAAGTGTACAATAAACGTAGGAAAGCTGTAGTCATATGGATTCTAACTCTTGCAATTTCCCTTAAGCTTCACTTTTTTTTGACCTTTAAATTCTTTATTAGTTAAGGAATTACAAATGTGTCCTCATTCCGCCCCATTAACCCCCCCCCCCCATACTCCCATCCCCCTGTTGTCCATGTCCATTGGTTTGGCTTATCTGCATGCATACAAGTCCTTGATCGTTTCCCCTTACCCCCACCCTCCCCTACTTTCCCTCTAGGGATTAATAGTCTGATGGCTGTTTCTCTGTCTTTGGATCTGTCCCTGTTCATCAGTCTATGTTGTTCTCTAAGCTTCACTTTTCGCCTGACCGTTTTCTCCAACAGATGCAGGTCTCAGAGACTCGGCTAAGTATCTCGCTGTTCTTTATCACATGAGCGATTTGTAATAAGAATATGTTTAATTCTCTGAACGGAGGCTCCGAGGATTTTAGCGCTCTCTCAAACTCTTGCCAGCTCTAGCCATTCCGGGGAGGCGGAGTCTACATGAACTGACGCACTTTCCTCAGGATTTCTAGTTCTTAAAAGGGGAGGGCAGGGCGGGGCGGGGCAGGGCACCGTAAAATTGTAAGGGGGATGCCTGCAAGCAGCCTTTGGGAACAGGCAGCGAACATTGCTCGTCCCAGGACCTGGCTCCCTCGTGTCAAGGGTTGGCACTGTTGGGGTTGTCATCTCGATAGTGTATCACTCTGTGCTTCTTGGAGTTCTTTCTGCAGCGGGACCACCTGCCCCAAAGTGACGAGCACCGACGGTTTTCTTTTCTTCCCGTGACAGTGTACTCCCTGGATGGGATTCTGGTGTTCGGTTTGCTCTTTGTGTGCACCTGTGCCTACTTCAAGAAAGTTCCTCGTCTCAAAACCTGGCTGCTATCAGAGAAGAAGGGAGTGTGGGGTGTGTTTTACAAAGGTGAGCGCCTATCTGCCCAGGAGGGGGGGACTGCCGTCTCTGGACAGTGGGGTGCAGCAAGGTGCGGGTCAGATTGGCTAGGATCGTATTTCGTTTCACTTTTACATGATTGTTGATTTTAGCGCCGAGGTACTTTTAATATTCTACACGGAGGAAACGTAGATAAATTAAAACAATTTTAGACTGGACTGGAATTGTTGGGAAGAATAGTTTGCCAAGGAAAAGTTTTCCTGAAGTTCTGGAAAGAATGTATTGGAGTCTTTTAAGTTTTGCTTTCATTAACTCAAATGCTTTTTTAAAAAAATTAAAAAATATTTTTATTGATTTCAAAGAGTAAGGGAGAGGGAGAGAAAGATAGAAACATCATAGATGAGAATCATGAATCGGCTGCCTCCTGCACACCTCCTTCTGGGGATCTAACCTTTAACCCAGGCATGTGCCCTGACTAGGAATTCACCCATGACCTCCTGTTTCATAGGTCAGTGCTCAACCACTGGGCCACACTGGCCAGGCTCAAATGTTTTTTTACATTTTATTATGGACACCTTCATCTGGAATCCTAACTACCTAAATATGTTTGCAAAATAGGGCAAAATGTAAACAGACAATATATTCATCTAGAAACTAGGGTAGTACTTCAATACATTCCCAAGTGGATTCTTGAGACCATTGGTAGCTCTCTTCATCTGTGACTAGAAATTTCTAAATATCACCCTGAGCCTGGCTGGTGTGGCTCAGTGATTAAGTGTCGACCTATGAATCAGGAGATCATGGTTCAATTCCCGGTCAAGGGCACATGCCTGGTTGCAGGCTCGATCCCCAGTACAGGGAGCAGGCTATTGATGATTCTCTCTCATCATTGATGTTTCTCTCTCTCTCTCCCTCTCCCTTCCTTTCTGAAATCAATAAAAATATATTTTGGAGGGAAAAAAATATATCACCTTGAAAGTGAGGACTAATATGAAGGACAGGCTGTGATTTCTTTTCTCTTTTTACTTTTGCCTGCTAGCTGCTGTGATTGGAACCAGGCTGCATGCTGCTGTGGCGGTCACCTGCGTCCTCATGGCCTTTTATGTCCTGTTTATAAAATGAATTCCAAAGCATCCATCTCATCAACTGCCAACCAAGGGGACGAGGGTGAAGAACCTGGGGCCTGAACCCAGCGTAGGAGAGTGCAGCTAAAATCATCAAAGTCACCAGGATGACACCACAGCACCTGCCCCTCCCACATGTGGGGAAAACTCATGGTTACAAACATTAGTCATGCTTCAGGGGACTCCAGAAAGCCATTATCCTTACATCAGTCCTCGGCAGACAGCACATAACGTCCAGATAAATTGCACCCCTGGGTGATAACATTACATACCTCCTGCCTAAAAACCTGTCACCTGTTCTGTTCCTCAGCCCTTGTCAGGATCTTTTCAAATGGAGGCTCATTAGGGAAGGAATAAGCTGTATTCAGATCTCTTGGAAGGAGATAATTTTCAAGACTTGACTTTTTTTTTTTTTACTGTTTTGATTTAGATTTGGCAAACTGGAGGAAAGTGGGGGGGACTGGGTAGGAAACAGGAGTTGTACCATGCCAAGAAATGTTTGGGCTTTGGAAATTTATCTTTCATATATCCATCTGGCAGTGTAAGAAAGAGAACATGGCCCTCACTGCAAAGAGAGCATGAAAGCACTATGCTGTGTGCTGGAGAGGTTGCCAAGGTATGACCGGGGCCTCCATAAGACGTGGGATTGTCTGTCTGTGGTGAGACCGGAAAGCAGGAACTCACAAGAAATAAGGTTTTGTTCACCAGTATCCCCAAGAGGAGACTTCACCCCAACAAATGGTATATGAAAATGAATCCACTGTCTGTTTTCCTAAAGCCTTTTTATATTTTCTAAATTACTGACTGCTACATGCTGTTACTCAATTTTAAATGCCACCACTAGGGAAAAGAGAAACGATTGAAGAAATAATTATTTAATATATTTGCAGCTAGGGTAGAAGAAATATATCTAGTATATTAGTTCATATTACTAGTAAAGCTGTCTAGTATAAATTGATTGTGATGTTAAATGGAAGTTTTATCATGTTATCCAAGATACAAACTTATTCTTTGTTTAAATCTGGTTTATTATGGCAATTTTTAGTCGATTACTTGTTTTTCTTGGCCAACTCTTAATTTTATTCATAGTAAAACCCTCTTTAGCTGTCCCTTGTAAATCCTGTATTATAAGAACATGAGAAATTCAAATGAGTGAGAGAAGTTGCTGATATTCATAGGCATATTTGAACAATTCATAGAATCCATGAATAAAATGAGGGTGACAACATTTGAAGGGAAGATTTCTCCATTCCCTCCTCGTCTCAGCAAAAGGATCCAATGTTTTATTTTTGAAGCCTAGAACTTCTTTATTTTTAAAAAAGTTGGTCTAAAATTGTAAAAAGCAGGCATGGACATAGTTCTACCATGAGAATGGACATAGGTCTACCATGGATTGTCCATGAGAGCAAAACTTGACTGTGGACAAAGTAATGGTGGTTGCCCCTGTGTGACAGTAAGTTGTCTTTTGTCTTTCTCCAAAAGGACAGAAGCTGCTAGGAACTTTAGGTTCTAAAATAGGCAGTTTAGTCTTTGAGGATTTCTCAAAGTACAGAAAGTCATCACGTAAACACTACATGTCGAATCATCTCAGAGTTGTGGCTGTTGTCTCTTCAGGAATTGGTCCACAGGGTAACATTTCAATGATTCATATGTTTTCAGTGGTCATTTCTGAGGATCTCACATGAAAGAAAGGAAAAGGGAAAGAAGAGCTACCCCTCGTGGGTGTGAGTTTGGAACCTGTCGGCCACCAGGGGTGTCACTCCCTGGAAATACAAGTTCAGCATGTTTGCACTTGTTCCTGTGTAGCTTTAATGACTTTTTTTTCTAATAGGGCTAATGTCTCTAAGCTTTGTGCTTAGAGCTGTTTCAGATTTTAAACTAGTTCCATTTCACTGTTCTAGTTATTCAAACCATTTTTTTACAGCCTCCTGGGTGGGTCATCTTAACTCTTGAATTATAATATTTTGAGATATTTTCATTCCAGAATGTACCAAAAAGTGCACAGAGTGAAGGCAATTTACAGCAAAACAAAACAAAACACACAGCTTATTTCATTTGACTTTATATATGCAGATAAGCAGAAACCTGTTTAACTCATTACTTGATGTGTCATATTTTTTGACTGAAAATTAATAGAAGTGGTTCCTCTAAGAGGGTCTTTTAGAGGTGGGAGAATGGGGATAGCAGTATCGCCCCAGACTCTTACTGGCATCACCATAAATTCTGTATGCCAGGGTGGCGTGAAGTCAGCTTTTTATAGTTGAAATACAATTTTTTATTCACCATTGTCTGCACAAATTCTTGAAAATAAAATTTCTTTCCCTACTGTTTTTGTCCATTTTATTTGTCACATGCTGAATTTAATGAACTTTGTTCCATATTCCCTTGGGTTCTGCCCATAGAATACCTTTTTAAATAAATTAATACCATCATTTGTGCTGACCCCTGTGAATGTATCATATAGTTCAGGATCTATGAGAGCTTTCTCCTTTGGGGGGAGCTGATCTATATACCAGTTTATACTGTATATATCAGCATATATATGTATATATATATATATATATATATATATATATATATATATATATATATATAAATTTTGAGGTGTATCAAGTAAGGTAGATTACTCCCCAATACATTTTACATACTACCGCTATTAAAATATAAGTAGCATCTGCCCTTACCAACCGTAAACATTCAAATGATATTAGGTTAACCAACCACACACATAGAAAACCCTTGAGCCAATGGGATTCCGACACATACATTGGATGCTTTCCCCTATGTGTTTATCTCAACTGCATGGCAAGGCTGGCAAAAGTATAAACTATAACTTCACAAATCATTTTCTACCAGTGTCCAAAAATCTGATTTGCTGCCCCCCCCCCCCCACACATACCTATTTCATTGAAAAAGGAGAAGAGCCTGGCTGGTGTGGCTCTATGGTCGAGCGTTGACCTATGAACTAGGAGGTCATGGGTTCGATTCCCAGTCAAGGGCACATGCCTAGGGGCTCTGATTGTAAAAGGAACTAATTCTACTCATATAATCGCGTCTGTTTTTCAGTTTACTCATTCTGGAGTTTGAAGGTCTGATGGGTTTTAATGGATATGCAAGTAAACAAAGGTTCAGCAATATGACTGCCACAGCATCAAGTTCTGGGGAGCGAGAGGGCTCTGACAGGGACAGCCTTTCTCCCTTCACTCATTTCACAGATCCTGACACCTAATCTAGTCTCACTTTCCCTTTGGTAGATGATGTGAAAGGAGAAGGCACTCCTGGGGAAGCTGATGTTGGTAAAGACCAGGATTTGCCTTCTCCATGGAAAAGGAGTCATTCACCTATTACTGAGATTGAATCGTCTTATATCCAGAAGTTGGGATCAAAGGTCAAAGAAAAACGACAGAAATGAATATAAATATGTAGCTGCACAAAAATGAAAAGAACACAATGACTCAGTGTTGTAAGCATTTGTCCCGCCTGTCCCTGCGACATGGCTTCCCCTCCGAGCCGCGAGAGGGCAGCAAAGCGCGCTCTCGGCGAGGGCCTGCGCTCGGTGGTTCCTCCCAGAATCCTCCGAGGCGGGGGGAGGGGCAGAGGCCTTTAAAAGGGGGTGCGGACTTCCGCCCCCTCACGGGAGGGAGCGCGGCCTGGGGTGCGGGTGCTGTGAGTGGTGCTGCGGTGTCGCGTGGATGGCGCGTGCGGCCGAGTGTGTGTGTGGGTGGATGTGAGCGTGCGTGGGGCGTGCTAGGCGAGTGCGTGACACCCCCTACGGCCCTCCCCCCGTCTACACCTTGATCTTATTTGATCGGGTTGTGACCCCAGCCCGCCGGGCCGGCCCGAGATGAAAAGCTCCCCTCCTGCGAAGCCCGCCCCGGGCGCTGTGCAGCGAGGCCCTTGGTGGCGGCGGCGCCGCGGTCCCGGAGCCGATCTGCGGGGCCCGGCGCTCAGAAGTGATGAATTGATCAGATAGACGAGGCCGGGCTTGTCCCGGCCGCTGATTATCGAGGCGATTCTGATCTGAGCCCGGCCCCGGGGCGGCCGCCCGTGGTGTGTGGTGGCGGCGGGCCGGGGCGCTGGCTGGAGCGGGAGGATGTCTGAGCTGCCTCCCCGAGGCCCGCTTCATCACGATGACTGCACCCCACCGAGCCTGTTGCCGAGGGGTGCAGGTTTATATGTGCATATATTTATATTTATATTTACATATAGCCCCCCAAGAACTTGGAGAACTTACAGCTACGGATTCCAGGGACCCGCCCCAGATTTACTTAACCAGAATATATCCTCACCTGAGGATACTGTTTTAATGATTTGGAGAAAGGGAGAAACATGGATGAGTTGCCTCCTGTACGTGCCCCAACCCAGGGTGGAACCCGCAACCTAAGTATGTGCCCTGACCTGGAATGGAACCTGCGACCTTTCGGCTAGGGGACTATGTTCTGATCAGCTAAGCCACCCGGCCAGGGCTAGAAATCTCTATTTTTTATTTTTTTAATCCTCACTGGAGGATATTTTCCCCGATTTTTAGAGATGGGAGAGAGAAAAATATCAATGTGTACACACTGATTGGTTGTCTCCTGCACACACTATGCCTGCAACTGAGGTATGTGCTCTTGGACAGAATTGAACCCGGGACCCTCAGTCCAAGGGCCGACACTATCTACTGAGCCAAACTGGGGAAGGCTAAAAGCCTCTATGCATGGATCACAGTAATCAATTTTTCAATGATCAGTATCAACCTGCATGAGGTGACTAACCAGTCACCCTTTCGGCCATTTTCAGCCATTCTAAATAACTGGCCACTTGGCACCACACGATCTCAATAGTGGAAGAGGCACCCAGCCTGTGTGGCACAGTGGTTGAGCATGGACCCAAGAACCCGGAGGTCAGCTTGGATTCTTGGCAGAGCACATGCCCCAGTTGCTCAATCCCAGTAGGGGGCGTGCAGGAGTTAGCCCATGGATGATTCATTGGTGTTTCTATCCCTCCCTTTCTCTGAAAGCAGTAAAACTATTTTTAAAAATAGTGGAAGAGGGGCTGTGATTGGTGGTATTTTAAGGACCAGGCACTTGAGTATCAGCCTTTTCCTATCCGTTATTCAACAATGCCAAACTTCTGTACCATAGGCGAGGTCTGCCATTTCTTGCCCAATCTAATAGCAGGTTCCTGTGACTTGTAACTTTAGAGACCACGTAAGTGCATCGTTTTTAGATAGCTTCAAACCCAAGCACCAGATTTTTGAGCCATGTTTATAAGAATTAGGGGCAGATATCAGCACAAACATACAAAGGCAAGGGAACTGATTCCCAGCAAGATTATGGCAGCAGTTAGAGAAAACAATGGCAAGGAGGCAGGACCAGGGAGGTGGAGGACCCCTGCCCCCCATGGAAAAGTAGAGCCCAGCAGATGACTAAATCCAGGAGGTCGGAAATCTGTTAAGTGTGACATCAGCATAAGAATGCTACATAGAGCTACTAAGATGACTGGCTGTAATCTCATTAAGACAATGGGCTCTATCTATTCTTGTTTCCCAAACACAGCTCTGACACAAAGGCTTGCAAGAAATATTGAATGGTGTATCTGTATGGTTGGAATGACTCATTTACAAGAAAGGAATACCCGCTTCCTGCCCCAAACTGGGCTGTTCTAAGTCCTTGCAAATATTCTCAACAAGACTAGTTTCTAGAAGTTGGGAAACTTCCACCTTTTAAGAGTAGTCTAGTGGCAACTCTATGGGTAACAGACACTTCAGGCTTCACCATGCGCAAATGTTTTTAATGAAGGTGGGCAGCAGGCTGTCCCATCGACTAATCAATCCAGGGGCCTGTCAGCATCAGGTGGAGAAGAAGCCACCGTCCGTCTTTCGGGAGTAGCCTCTGTTGGTGGCTGCAGTGTGAGGGGACACTGGAGAAAAGAGGGAGTGGGCTGTCAATGTCAGATCCTTTGTCTTCACTGGGAACCTGTAACCACCCATCCATTTATGGGTGCCAGAGAGAAGGTTCTTAGAACAGCTGGGGAACTGGCATATAGAAGACAGATAGGAGGTAGCTATAGGTCTTCCATTCCCAGGTTTCTGCTGGAAATTTCTGTCCCCTAGATCTAAGGGTGAGTTAGAGACTCGGAAAAGTGGAATTCATTCCATAGTCAGCATGCATGTCGCCTGATCTGTCTGATATGTGACAACTTAATCACTGCTGTTGCAAGACCCTCAGTTATCCCCCATGTTCCCTCATAGCCAATCACCTCAAGTCCCTGATTCCTGGGTCCATTTAGAACTTGTACCACCATCTGCCCTATTACTCACCGATGGACCCATGGATGCTGTGGATGGACTCCCTCTTAGGGCTGATCCATTGTCGGATGTTAGCTCGGGGGGTGGTGGGCAGTGGTGGGGCAGCGGGTAAGTGTTCTCTAGGGGCCTGGATGTTGATGATCCTGGAGGATGGGTACGGAGAAGAATAGGGGAGAATGAAGCCAAGCAGGAGAAAGGTAAGGAGGGAAAGAATTACATGCCACCTCCAAAATAAAGCAGCCAAAGGCCCTTTTTACACTCAGTGGAATTAACTGAAGATTTTGTTGGTTTATACAGATAAAAACAGGAAGTTCTCTGTTCATTTCAGATAATAAAAATACAGAAAAAACAAGTGTTGGTGAGGGCGTGGAGAAAAGGGAACCCTTGTACACTCTTGGTAGGAATGTAGGCTGATACAGCCACTGTGGAAAGCAGTATGGGAGTTACCTCAAAAAGTTAAAAATAGAACTGTCTTATGACCCAGCAGTTCCGCTTCTGGGAATTTGTCCGAAGAAACCCAAAACACTAATTCGAAAGAATGCACCCCTATATTCACTGCAGCATTATTTACAATAGCCAAGGTTCGGAAGCAGCCCCTGTCCATCAGTAGACGAATGGATAAAACAGCTATGGTACATTCACACAATGGAATACTACTCGGCCATAAAAAGGAAGAACATTTTATCTTTTTTGGACTGCATGGATGGAGCTGGAGGGCATGCTAAGTGAAATAAGACAGTCAGAAAAAGATAATTACCAGAGGATTTCACGCATATGTGGAACCTAATAAACAAACTGCACTCACAAGCAAAATAGAGACGGACTCAGACTCAGAGAGCAGGCAGATAGCTCTGGTGGGAGTGGTGGTGGTGGTGGTGGTGGTTTGAGAAAAGAAAGGGGATTGAGAAAAAAGAAAACTTCTGGACACGAACAACAGTGCTGTGACTGTGGGAGTGAGGGGGAAGGAAGAGGAGGGCATATGGGGGATAAATGGTGATGGAAAAAGAATAAAGGGAAAGATACAGAAGTTACAAGTACAGATATAAACAATACAGAAATCTGTATACCAATGAGCACCTATTGATAGTTACTTCCCAGGTAGCCTCTACTTTATTTAATTGATGGTATTACCCTTAGGATGGGGAGGCTGTGCCTCCACCACTTACCCACGGCTGTCCTTGGAGGTCTCCTGGTGCATCAGGGCCTCATTTTTGTTCTTGAACGACCCCGTGTGGTGGTTGTACAAGACAGCTAAGCGGAAATCCAGATTGTCCTTTGGAATCTACAGAGGAAGTTAACCCCCGCAGGGTTAATGCACCACCTCTACCCCCAGCTCTAGTCAAGTTCTTTTGGGCTCTACTCTTCCCCAAAAGGAGAGAGAACGTCTTTTGGGCCTGGATCCACCAATTCCTTACACACCAACTAGTACATGGTGACTCTTGTCTCTCATGGTTAGGTCTAAGGAGTAGTGAGCTCTCCCTGTAGATATGGGAATCACTATATTGTCCCCGATTTGGGCTCAATGGACCTTACTTCGTTCATGGTTATATTCAATCTTTGTTTTAATCAGAAGAGTGAGAAGTCCAGTGAGAAAATGATTTGCTTCAGATGTCTGACTAGAGCAGAACCCAGGCCTCTAATTTCCCAGAGACCAGATAAATTGGTATTTAGTTTTCAATTTGGTAGGATCTTGGATTGAGGACAAAAGGAAAGATACTAAAGAAGTCAGGGACAGACTTCCTTCCAAAGAGGATACTGATGAATTCTAATTGGACGTAAAGAGAAATAGTATTTCAATAGCAGGTACCTCAGATTCAAAAAAATAAGAATTCCGCCTAACGGAGGTAATCGTGGGAATTGAGTTGAGCCGATTCCAGGGTTCCTGTTGCTGGTCAAGGTGAGTTGGGTTCTTATATTGCAGCATCTGCAAAAGCAAAACCGCCCGAGGACCTGGTTACCTGGATACAGGTCCTTGCTGCTATGGTAGCTTCAGTGGCATCCGCCCCTTCATCCTATGCTAATTGAATCTCAGAGCAACATCTGTAAAGAGAATAACAATATCGGGCAAAACGCCCCTAAGTCTTCAATCTTAGAACTGACAGAAAAGGGCCGGGAATAGAGGGAAAGGCGTGGATAGGACAGGGGCAAAGGGTGGAGAACATATAGGAAAGATGGTGAGCTTAGGTTTAGACATCCTGAGTTTGAGGAAAAGGTTAGATAGACATCCTAATGCAATTAACAGGTAGAAAATTGGAAGTGTGCGACTTTTTGGAGAGCTCAGGACTAGTAATTGAGTTCTGGGGGTTATCTCCATGCAGCTGTGGTTGAAGCCTGTAAAAGCAAGAGTGGCCAAAAGGGAAAAAGTGGTTCATGAGTGCACAATATTATGACTGGGGAAGGGAAGAGGCAATCAGATACGGGAGAACCAGGAGAGTGCAGTGTCTAAGCAGGTGAGAAACGGATTTCAATAGAGAAGGATCATTGTGACTGAAGGGTTGTCAAAGAAAAAGTCCATTGGATCCTGGCCAGTGTGGCTCAGTTGGCTGGAGTGTTGTCCTGTACATCAACAAGGTGGCAGGTTCACTCCCAATCAGGGGACAGACATATCCAGGCTTTGGATTTGGTCCCCTGTCAGGGTTCGTGAAGGAGGCATTCAATTGATGTTTCTTTCTCTCTCTCTCTCTCTCTCTCTCTCTCTCTCTCTCTCTCTCTCTCTCTCTCTCTCCTCTCTCTCTCTCTCTCTCTCTCTCGTCCATTGGACAGTCAATCCTCTAAATAAAAACCCATAAGCATGAATGCATATAACTGTCCTCTTCATTACATGTAAAATGCCATATTGTTCATCATTGTGTCCCTAGTACTTAGCCAGCCACCTAACACATGATGTTCAAAAATGAAATATTGGCCCTAACAGGTTTGGCTCAGTGGATAGAGCGTCGGCCTGTGGATTGAAGGGTCCCAGGTTCGATTCCTGCTAGGGGCATGTACCTTGGTTGCGGGCACATCCCCAGTAGAAGGTGTGCAGGAGGCGGCTGGTCGATGTTTCTCTCTCATCAATGTTTCTAGCTCTCTATCCCTCTCCCTTCCTCTCTGTAAAAAATCAATAAAATATATTTTAAAAAATGAAATATTGGTTGAATCAATGACTGGACTCCAGTAAGCACAACTGCAACCTAGTAGAAATCTCATCAACCTGCCTGAGGTTGGAACCCTCTTCCCTATACATGGAAAAGCGCTGTGTGCTCAGCTCAGTTGGACAGTAATTGAACAGTATGCGCCAAGCACTCTGTGCTATCACCAGGAAAGATGAAAAATGAACAAGAAAACTACAAATATATATGATGCAGCGTAGGTAGCTCTCCTCCCATTCCTCGAAGGCTACATAAGCTCAACATCTCTATCGAAGAATGAGCTTGTCTTTCAAAGAGAAAGTCAAGCATGAATGCCATACTTTCTTTCCATCTCAGAGAAGGGATGGAAGTCTCTTTCCTCAAGAATAACCCCTCTTCCCTGACCAGCCCTTCCCTGTGCCTCAGAGACCTGCGCCATGCTGGCATCCCCTGGACTCGCTTCCCTCACATTCATTTATACCCATCTAACTACCACTCTATCACCTTCCCTACAGAGCCAGGCTCTTCAAGGGTCACATTTACTATCTTTACTTCCTCCCCCTCCCCATCCCCTTTTCAGTCTGGCCTCTGCCTCAAGCACCCGCAGAAACCGCTATTGCTGGTGACCAATGATTTCTGAGGCGTGGTCGGGTGGATCCTTTCCAGGCTTGGTCTTATCTGACCTCTGCAGTTTCTGGCACCATGATGCTGACTCTCAAATGTTCTCTCAACCCTCTGTGGGTCCGGCTCCTCCGAATTTCCTCCTGCCTTTAACTGTTGCTTCTCAGCTCTGCTCGGCATTCCTGGAGAGTTTTGTTTCTGCTTTCCTTACTCTCACATTTGCTGGATGAGCTCATTCCTTCCTGTGGCTTCAACCACCATATGGACACTGTGGTTTCCAGATGTACATCTTCAACCCAGAACTCTCAACCAACTGCCTGCTATTCATTCGCACTTAAATGTCCCACAGGCACCACAAAAGCGACATCTACATCATTGATCTAAATCTCTCTCCCCAACCCTGCTTACCCTGAGGCCTCATTCAGTAAATGGTATCAATTAAGCCCCCAGGAACGAGGAGTCACCCTAGACTCATCCGCTCTCTTGGGCTCATATTCAGTCAGCCACAAAGTCCCATCAGTCCTGCCCTTTGCATCTCTCTTATCTGCAACTTATCGCCATCCCCTGCATCACTGCTTTAGGTCCATTATTCTTCCTCCTGGAGTTTGCTGCCTCCGGAGGCTCCTGCCTCCTAGCTGAGCCCTCTTGTCTCACTCCCACCCGATCCAATCCACTGCCATTTGTGCTTTCTGAAACACCCATCTGTTGTGTCGCTCTAGGGCACTTATTCTCAACCTTCCTAATGCCGCGACCCTTTAATACAGTTCATGTTGTGGTGTCCCCCAACCATAAAATTATTTTTGTTGCTACTTCATAACTGTAATTTTGCTACTGTTATGAATCGTAATGTAAATATCTGATATGCAGGATGTATTTTCATTGTTACAAATTGAACATAATTAAAGCATAATGATTAATCACAAAAACAATATGTAATTATATATGTGTTTTCCCATGGTCTTAGGCGACCCCTGTGAAAGGGTCGTTCGATCCCCAAAGGGGTCGCGACCCACAGGTTGAGGACCGCTGCTCTAGTGCTTCAGATCCTGATGTGACTCCCAGCCCCTCCAGGATGAGATCCTAGCTCAGTGGCATGGTGCACACAGCGCACCCAGCCCAGGAAGCTCATTCTCCAGCGCCTGCTCGCTCCACTCCTCCTCCTCCTCCTCGGCCCCAAACAGGCCACACTGTGTCCCCTCTTCAGGCGTCTGAGCACCTGCTGCTTCCTTTGTCTTGCTGGTGACCAGTGTCTGGTTCCTGTTTCTTTCTTCCCAACTCACATTTCACCTCCTCCCCCACCTGGCTCAGCTCACTCATATTTTGATGTCAAAACTCGCCTGCTCCCCTTGGAGCTCCCAGTTCTCCCGACACACTTTGTATAACTCACAACACACATGCTACTGTGCAAGCGTTATAGCTGTTGATGTTGTCAGTTTGGCTTTTCTACTAGTTTCTTTAGAGCAGGTGCTATACCTAATATATCTATATCTATAGCTGCTAATCTATAGCTCCTCAGTGTTTAGTGGCACCTGGCATATAGTAGATAATAAATGATGAATAAACCAAAAGGAGCTCTTTGATTTTATTATTGAGCCACAGTGACTATTTAATTCTCCTTAGTTTGCACCACTTCAAACATCCCAGCCACTTCTATTAGAAAAAGGATCATTTGAATTCCCAAGCCGCTGCCAACATACACATGTTCCAGTTTTAACCAGAGGACAGAGACGGTGCGAAGACACATGACCCGGTGGCTTTCCGAGGACTTTCTCCCCCTCCATATCTCATAGCCTTTTAGAGGGCCGCCTTCCAAACAGGGCAAAGACTTGGCGACCCCTGGGCCTGTTTCAGCCCCATTACACCAATCTACTTTGGCGAGAGCCCCTAGTTCCTCTGGTCTAGAGATTTACTTCTCTTTGCTCAAAAGCATCCCTGAAACGTTGACCGACCGGAACATGGGGACATGGAGGCAGGCAGGAAACCGACTTGTCCAGGACCTCAGTGTCCTCACCAGAGTCCTTTAAGTTCCCCCTCATGACAGAAAGAATGCCATGGCCACCAGGACTGCGCAAGAAGCTACAGTACCTTGGAAGCCCTCGGTTTCCGCGGGCCGGAATCATCGTTATTCAGCATTGGCTGCCGGAAAAGGTCTCGGGTGGGAGGCATGGTCAAATGAGAAGCTCTTGGGAGGAATGGGAGGCCGGCGCAGCCGCACACAAGCCTGCACACAGAGGATCGCGGGTCCCAATTGTTGGGAAGGCTCACTTTCGGTTGCCAGGCAACTGCCCACCGTCTATGACAGAATTCCTATCAAGAAGAGCGCCACCTGGCGGTCAAACGTGGGACGCCCCTCGGGAGGAAGTTACTGGGAAAAGAGAGGGAAAGAGCCGCTGACCATACCCAGGGAGCCCTGGGTTTGCCCTCCTGAACCTTAGGTGGAAAAACAGAGGCCTCCGGCATGCAGGACTAATGCAAAAGGCTTCAGCTAGCAAACGGAATCCTAAAAGATGACCCAGAATGCCCTTTTCCCTCGCATCTAACAAAAGGGTTTTTCAAAGCAGTAAGAGAATGGGGATGTCCAGCGATGGAACACTGCCGCCTAAGCAAACACTCCTTGCTTAAACCCGGTTTAACTATATGAGTCTCAAGGCTTCGCATCAAGCCGGCCGCAAAGGCCCAGACGGATGTGGAGGGATGGACATGGAGCGGCTGTCTTTGCAGTAGGTAACACCTTCTAAGCCACTCGTGTAGGCTGTAACTTCTAGAAGAGAGACGACGTCTCCATCTTTCTAGCGCTTTACACTCAGGACGTGCTCAGTATCTGTCCACCGCCACGTCTGCAGAATCCGAGATGCTCATAGCGCACGGCCGGGACCCGCGAGGGCAGTGGGAAACATGAATTTGGTGGCGATGGCTCGGAGATGCTCCCGCCGCATTCTTCACTCGTCCCCTTGTCCCTGGCGCGCGCACTTCCACGCAGCGCGTGCCAGCTGCGACGGCTGCCATGGCGACCGGCAGGTGAGCTGCAGAGCATCGCGTGGTCCCTACCCCACCCGCGCGCGCGCGCGCGCGCGCGCGCGCGCGGAAGGAAAGAGAAGGCGGTTGACAAGGCGACGTGGGTAGGAGGAGACGAGGAAGGAGGGAGGAGGAAGGATGGGCGGCTTTGGCGTGGTGGCCTGGAGGTGACTGAAGTGAGCCCAGCCCCTTGCATCCTCCCCCTAGGAACCTCCCTCCCCTTTTTTTCCGCCTTCTGCCAGCGGGAGCAGCAGCTGCAGCACCTGAGTCGCGGCCGCCGCCAGCTCAGGACAACGCGATGGCTGATGCTGGGCACAGCCTCCATCCCTCTGCCAGAGGCAGGGGAGGAACGAAGCGGCGCAGGCTCCGGCTCCTGCGGCTGCTGCTCTGGGTCGGGACCGCCTTCCAGGTGACCCAGGGAGCGGAACGGGAGCTTCACGCCTGCAAAGAGGTACTGTTCTCCCGGAACCGACCCCACTTTGGTCAGAAAAATCTTGGATCCTGGTGGAGACCTTGGGGACCTAAGCACAGACAGTGTCAGAGGCCACGGAGTTTAGTTTTGGGGGGATGAAGATGGGCGGGGGGAGGGAGAGGAGCAGACTGGCTCATGGAGAGGCCAGCCCACTGGAGGGCTCACAGTCGGGGCAGGGAGCTCGGGGAGGAAGGTCCACCATCTGGGACTGGACTCCGGACTCCGGGGAGAAGACATGAGCTGTTTTCCAGCTGGGGTGATGACCTTAAAAGTGGTTGAGAACAAAAGCTGATGTATGTGCAGAGGGGCGAAATAGAAAGTGGGCAAGGGGAGAAGCGGGGTGGGGAAGAAGTTAGGAAGGCCACAGGAAAGGAGCGGATGGGAGTCCTTGTGCCTTTATCTGGCTTCAGAAGGAGTGTGAAAGCAGGAGACGTAGGAGAGGCACTGAAAGGTCTCGTCCCCTCTCCCCCCTCCTATCCAGCACCCAGTCACCTTGCTGGCTGCTGAAGGTAGAGCCTCTTTGTAGCTTTGCTTCCCCCTGCACTTGGCTTAGTGTTCCTGTCGGCACATGGCCCGCCTGTGGCCAGACTGAGTCCTATGACATCTCACTTTCCGCTAATCCCCACTATCCTTCTCTGACTCGCCTGACATAGGTCATACGTCTTTTTCAAGGTGCTTCCAAAATGCTGTCAACATAATTCAGACGATAGGTAGTGAATGCCTTTCAGCCAAAAGTGCCTTTTGAACATTCTTTTTGGAGAGGTACAAAAAGGTATTAAGGAGTAACAAAACTCAGTCGTTTCTATAATATTGAAATAACAATATTTGGTTGTGCTCTGAGTAACGTGTGTTTTTTTTAACCATATGGCAGAGGCAGCAAGAAATACTTATAAGAACCGCATTGGGGAAGGCAAAACAAAAGTTGTCCTTTAGTTTCTGAGAAATGTGAAAGACTTCATAATATATCTATGCAAAAATAATCCAAAATGTCATACTTGGCTAAGGTTTTGAGAAGTTGAAATGTTATTGTTGTTGTTCCACTTATTTATGCATTTATTGGTTGTGTCTTGTATATGCCCTGAGTGGGGATCAAACCCAATACCTTGGCATATTAGGAAGAGAAGTTGAAATACTTCTTTTAAAGTTATCAGTACTAATTGTTTAGCAACCACAACCCCATCCCATGTGGAAATATATTACTATGGTGTTCTAACCATAGACTGTCTACAACATAACAGGTCATGAAGAAGTAGGGAGGGAGAGAGGAGAGAATTTTTGTGTGAGTACAGATGTTTGACTTCATTCATGAATACGACACAAGTCAGTATGATTTTTGAAAATGTTTACCAATCCCAGTGATTACCAGCCCTGGGCCATCCCATATACAATCCCATTTCCACCCAGCCACTTTCTCTCCTGTTTAAGATAAAGCTGGGAACAGCATGATTTTGTTAGTGACTGTGGCTTACTGGCCTTGGTGGCTTATGGTCTTGAGCCAACTAAGGTAAACAGTCCCAACAAGTCCACTTGCCTAAGAATCCAACATGGGAGTCTCTTGAGTAGAAGGTAAGAACCTTACAGTTCAACTGCCACTCTCGTTGAGATCCTTGTCAACTGTGCAAATTGCAGACATTTAAGAGATTTAACATTTTGTATCATTTCGGTTTGGAGGCAGGGACGAATATTGATGCTTGAGAGCTCTAACTGGGTTACACATTTTGCCTTTAGCCCTTTTGAATGACTGACATTTGCCTAAGTGAAAGATCTTGCCACCGCAAGTGAGCTTAGGGCAAAGCTGTGGGACTCAACATTTCAGCGCTCCAGTCCCTGCCTGTGACTTCCCACCCAGTGTTTGGATCTGTAGGATGGGCATTTCAGTAACACCCACCTCAAAAAGGATTGCTTTGAGGACTGAAAGGAAAATACAAATAAAGCACAAATTAGAGTTACCTAACCCCCTTTCCCAGTCGGCTTCTTTACCATTCGATCCACACCCCAGGCCACAGTGAAAGTGGCTCAGGACTCATGCCCATTAGTCACGGGAGTCAGCAGGTCCTGTTTGCACTCCTTGAGCAAACAGTGGCGGCAGAACACCCTCCACTCCAAATCAATAAGGAAGCGGATAAACTCATTATCATAACAGTCTTCGCTTGGCAATATGAACTGACCCAACTAGTTTCGGGGCTTCCAACCCTAAATGGTGAAAAACCAATTCAGGGTAGACTAGCCCTTCTCTGTGCTGTATCTGCTTATGAATTTTGTGAGTCTGTGATGGGACTCTTATCAGGCCAAGGCTGACCTTCATAATAACAGTGTTGCTCCAGCCTTGTTTCTGAAACCTGACCCATTGCTCTGGATCTCAGCAGGGAACAGAGAGGTTTGGCTGCGGCCTAAACGCTTTTCTTATTCCTAAAACCAGGGAGTTCTAGATTTCTAACCCGGAGCTGGGGCTTGGCATTCCTTTCAGTTTTCCAATCATCAGGGTCACCAGTGGGACTAAACCTCCTGAATGGAGTTTGTCTTCACGAATCATTTCTTTTGTCCTGTGCTAGCCCAGGCTAAGTGCTGATTGAGAGGCCAAGGACCAAGCATTTCCTATAGCGCGATGAACCCAAATCAAATTCGAGAGAAGCAGAACACGGCTTTTAATACATCTGCCTGGTCCTGAGGCTCCAGTGCTAAATGCCCCCCAAACGGCCTTCCCAACCTACCCGGAAAAGCCCGGAGGACTGAGGAATCTGGCAGACGTAGATTGGAATAAAATTGGTTGAATGAGTGATCCCACTTAGTAAGGATGCTAGTGGAGCAAGTTAATTAAACTTCTAACAGCCTCAGATTACCAATCTGTAAAATGGGGATGGTAATACCTATCCCAGAGGTTGTTGTGAGGATTAAATTAGATAACACATGTTACGTGCCTAGTACATAGTCTTGACATGTCATAGATGCATAAGAAATAATGGTAGGCAGAAAAGGTAAATATACAAATAATGACATATAAGGGACGAGATAAGGTTAACAGATGGCAAACAATGCAGGAGTGGCGCGATAGAGGTTGACAGGAAAAGAAGACTTATCTAAACAGTTGGTACTTGACCTAGAATAATCAGTAGAATTTCAAAGGGTAGAGATGGAGTAAAGGTGCTTTCCAGATAGAGGGAGGGTCCTGAGGAAAGGTCCACAGGTGGGAAATACACGAGAGTCTGAAAACTGCAAGAAGATGAGGTGGCTGAAACGTGGAGTGGGTGCGGGCCACCAGAAATCAAGGTTGGAAGGTCAGAAACGAAGTGGAGAATCCTGCTGAGAGTGGGTTAGCAGAGCATGAAGCAAGCACGGCTGAGGCAGGCCAGAGGCTGAGAGCAGACTCCTCGGGAACCATCAAGGTTGGATGTTTAAAACATCCTGCCATATTTGGTGAAGAGAGAAAATTAAAATTCTCCCATTGTCATGAGGTACTTACAGGATAGCAAGATGGGATGTTTTTGTTTATTACCAAAGGGGCTAAAGAAGAACAGCTTCTTGAGATCTGAAGGCATTTACGAAGGCATTTTGTCTATTCTCCTGGCTCAAAGTAAGAGTATACTTGCCAAAACCGGTTTGGCTCAGTGGATGGAGCGTTGGCCTGCGGACTGAAGGGTCCCAGGTTCGATTCCGGTCAGGGGCATGTACCTGGGTTGCGGGCACATCCCCAGTAGGAGATGTGCAGGAGGCAGCTGATCGATGTTTCTCTCTCATCGATGTTTCTGACTCTCTATCTCTCTCCTTTCCTCTCTGTAAAAAATCAATAAAATATATTAAAAAAAAAAAAAGAGTATACTAAAACTCTGATAGTTATCTGACTTTACTTTAAAAAAGATTTTTAAATAACAAAAGTGACACTTTTCATTTGCAGAAAAATTGGAAAATATAGATAAATGAAAAGAAGATAATAAAAATCACCTATAATCCTATCACTCTATCATTTTTTTAAAAAAATGAATTATTGTAGACTTGTTTTTTCTTTTTTTTTTTTTTTAGAGAGAGAGAGGGGGAGAGAGAAAAACATTGATTGGTTGCCTCCTATATGTAACTTCACTGGGGATGGAACCTAAAACCTAGGTATGTACCCTGACTGGGAATCAAACCCACAGCCTTTCGGTGGATGGAACAACGCTCCAACCAACTGAGCCACCTGGACAGGGTCACTCTATCATTTTTTTGGTTATATTTGTGAGAGAGAAACAGAATAGTGGTACAGTGTGGGATCTGGATAAAACTATTTCAGTTCAATTTCTAGCTCTTCCACTCAAATACTATGACCTTGGGAAATTTATTTAATCTCCTCCTGCCTCAGTGTCTTCATCATTAAAATGGGTATATTAATAGAGTACACTTAATGACTATAGTATGACAGTTAAGTGAGTTAACACATGTACATTGCTTAGAATAGGTCAGCCTGAGGACTGAAAGGTCCCAGGTTCGATTCCGGTCAAGGGCATGTACCTTGGTTGCAGGCACATCCCCAGTGGGGGGTGTGCAGGAAGCAGCTGATCGATGTTTCTCTCTCATCGATGTTTCTAACTCTCTATCCCTCTCTCTTCCTCTCTGTAAAATATCAATAATATATATATATATATATATATATATATATATATATAAAGTTGGCTTGTTAGAATTAGATTTTTAGTGGAAGTATAATTTGCATGATCTTATAGTGGTAAAAGTTAAAAATTTAATGGTGGTAAAAGTTGGTTGAATTGAAAAGGAACAAAGAGTAGATGGTGAGAGATGTTCTGAGGAAAAGGTTGACAGAATTTGCTGAAGAGAAGAAGGAGACATAGCACTGAAGAGTCCGGAGTTGTGCTGTTCCGGTGTGGTTGCCCCCTGCCACCTGTGGCTGTTAGCACTGGAAACCTGGCTAGTGCAGCTGAGGACATGAAATTGTAATTTTTTAAAATCTTAATTCATTTAAAGTTCAAGTTAAAATGGATACTCGGTTC